ACTGTCGTGTTTTCATCATCGTACTATCGCGTTTTCATCATCGTACTATCGCGTTTTCATCATCGTACTATCGTGTTTTCACCATCGTAGTTTCGTGATTTCGTGTTTTCACCATCGTACTGTCGAGTATCGCGTTTCAGATCAAACCATTTATAGGCGGTGGCCCTAACGGCATTCCGTACCCTTTTGCTCAAATATTTTAAAATTTCGTTATATATCAGAAGTTCCATTTTATATGATACCAAGGTGATAATGCACATAGTGTACCATAATCTTTATGTTTGTTTGTTTGTTTCTGTGTGTTTTTTTAAAGCCTATTATACCAGATTTTCGGACATATCTCGGCATGTGACCCACCTTACCGGCTCTCAGTGATAAACAACTTCTGCTCAATTGACCGGCTACTATTCCCAACATGATTGCTGAATCAGCGATGAAAGACAAATGACCATTAAACTCAATGCCCGCGATGTATTGTAACCATGGTAACGGAGAACTTTCAACTCGCTAGAAGATCGAACCAGCGCCTCAAGAATTAATATTAATCAAATGATCGAATATGTGAGGTTTGCATTCTGAAGTACAAAATTATTACCGATGAATATAAATATTCATGTGTCAATGCTTGTATACTTTTAAGTCCAGGCCATTGCATATAGCTTATATTAATTAGTTAATTGAACAGGGGAATATATTTTGCTTTAAACATAACATAAAATGTTTCCGGGAAGTTATTAAAGAAACTGAAAACTCATTTTCAAAACAGAATTCACCCTTTAAAATGAATCTCGGAGATAAAACGGATTGGTCGAGTTATTTTCTTCAACAGTATTTTTTGTGATTTAATGTTCTACCGGGTATTTGATTCTAGTTTGCCAATAGTCTTCCTAGAATAGCTTTTTAAAGAAGACAATTTCCCCACAGGTTGAAAAAAACCTTATTATATATCGTTTCAATGAAATTCAATTGTTAAAGGGAAGTAGTCTATTATAGGAGATCTGTAATAGAATAAAAAAAAATATGCTTTAGCTCCACTTTTCGACGATGTTGGTTATTTTTTTCGCTAAGGTCCATTTTTTCTGAAACTATTAAAAATTTCCTATACATGTTTCAAAAGGGAATGTAATCCTAAATTATTTTTTGCAAAGTTATGCCCCTTTTTCGTCCTGGTTAAACGTTTTGTTAGGATGTTTTTTCTCGGAAACTATCAGTAACATAAAAAGCACTAGAAAGTCAAGGAAATAACACCATTTCAACATCAGATTTGAAAATTTTCTCAGTATATGGGAGAAAACATCCCTCCCACACATACATTTATTCTTCATTTAAGCTTAATTGATCAATGTAATACAAGTAAAACATGCTTATATTATTAACTTTATTTATTATAAACTTTATTTAACACCATCCATACATAGTATTATATAAAATAATTCAATTACATCATTTTACAAATGTGCACTAAATTACAAGAGACTGATAGTAGAAGGGAGGCAACTCTGCAAGGATTTCCAATATCACTTACAGAGTTACCTCTCTTCTCATTCAATATTCAAAGAAGAAACTATTGCTAATCTTGTTCTGAAAGAATGTTCGGTAAAATTGCTTAATAGTGATAACCCTAGTAATGTTCTCTTACTTACATGTACAATATTCTGGCTTAATTGTCAAACACGTGCACACTTTTTCGCCTGTCATATTGTTTTCTGTTGTTTTTGTCAAAATATTTCTCCCAGATGTAAGCCCCAATTCCCCCACAGCTAACCGTATTCCAAATCCGCCCCTGTTTAAAGATCCTGTTACTCAATTGTTTATGGTCTTATATCATAAATATGATGCTCAAATGAAGATTTATCAATATTGTAAGTTCCAAAAAGCATTATATGTAAAGATATAACCGAATTAAGATTTCACGTAAATGAAGGGAGGTAATAGGAAATTTAATTTTTGAAAAAGTCTAATCAAAATATTTCAATAAGAAATGAATGCATGTATTTCAATGATTACTTATAAAGCGTATAAACTTTTGCAGTACATATTTAACATATTCTTTGATGTTTTGAATATATTCTAGAAGAAAGATTATACACATAAATAAAATTTCACTTAATTGTTGTTACATCCTTAATTACAACATACAGGATCTTTAAATGGTTAATTGAATAATATATTGTGTTGCTTGTTACTATACCGGTAATTGCTAAATTAGCAAAGAGATATATCTCCCGTTACAATCAATTTTTGTAATGCACAAGTTCAGCAGCCAAATTTGTTAGTTAAAATGGCAATTTCAAGTATTTACATTTATTACATACTTATTAATGAAATATTGAGAAATATTGATGAAATAAAATGCGTATTTTCATTTTTTCCGTATTTTCATTGAATAAATTATTTTTCACTGCAGTAAAACATATTTTCCGTATTTTCACTGATGTTTTGCCGGACTACTTTCTTTTAAATTCTGCCAGTACACAAAACTAAAGGGAAAGTCTTTCAAATTTTAATGTCAAAAAAGAGTAAACTGTATGTAATAAATAGAAAATTCAAGTTTTTTCTATAACTACATGATTTATTTTCATCTTGTCGCATGAAAATTACCACATTTCATTTGTGACTGCCGCCACTCATGAAATATTTACCACTCGATGAAAATAAATCGTGTATTTATAGAACAAACTTGAATATCCTCTATAAATTATCAATAAATAAAATCAAACAGTTATAAATAAGCATACATATAAACATAGTATCAACAATGAAAATATCTATAACATTGTTAAATCTTAATATATCAGTTTCTTGACTTCAAATGAATACGTTTGTTTTAAACTGTACCATATAAATGTTTGTTAAAGTCAGAACAAAAATCTAATTTTGCCATCACTTTACTCTGTGAGATGTATTTGAAAGTTAACAATTATAATAATAATAAATGAATGTTAAATAGGAATTCGTACAAACACTTTAAAATACTGTAAAACAGAGCTACATTATGTTCAAATCCATTCAATAATGGCATTGCTATAATTGTGACATGATTTAATATGTTGCAATAATGTTTTCATTTCAAACATTAAACTTTGAAATAAAGTCAATTATTACTAGTAAGCACATACAAAATAATAAAAGCAAAACCTATAATTAAAAAAATACACCGAGTATATGATACAAAAAAATCCTGATATTAAGATGAAAATATTTGAATCATCAATGAATATGATAATATACAACATTAAATATTTCTGTGCAAAATAATGCTTTCCTGAGATAACAGTCATAAAAGATGAACACATTTCAAGATATTATATACATAGTATGATGAATGTGATAATATTTACAATTGATTCATAATAGACTATGATTCAACTTGTCTATTCAAGTTTATGCGTGGACTTCGTGGATAAAGAAATATTATAATCACAATAAATTCTAAATCCCTGATATCATTACTATAATAACAAACGTAAAGTTTCTGTATAGAACTAAAACAAGAACTAAAGGCAAAGTGCAAGTGATCGGCAAGGTCATACGGCAGTGCTGCAGAATGTTATATCGAAGGTACTGTGTTTGTGTCTCGGTCAGGCTGAAAAATTATCTCACCGGTCAGGCTGCAAGTTTATCTCACCGGTCAGGCTGCAAGTTTCTCTCACAGGACAGTTATAATATATTAATATCAATATAATATCTATGATAAAACTTTTACAATATACTAGTGTATGTCGGAGTAACATTTATATAGAAAAAAAATCATAAAATAAACTTTTAAACACCTTTGATTCACGGTAATTTATTATCATCATGATTCTATACTGATACTTAAACTTCTGAACACACCATACACCACACGCTTCCTTCTTTACTTCAAGGAATTCACTGATGAATGTAAATTTTGTATTTCAATTAGCTTCTATTTTCGTTGAAGATCAAGGTCTGCCATCCAATGAATGCACCAAATTGTAGTTTTTGGCATCTACACGATTGGCTCATTACCATAACTGTTTAACAAATCAGTAACATCCATAAAATGTTTAAATCATTATCACAATTCTAAAATAAACCAATTTATCACACTCATCACCGCAGACAAAAATTGCGCCGTCATGACAAACCCAGTGGACTTTCAAAGATATTTCTGGTTTAAAGATCAATCATCCCCTGAAATAAAGAAAATTGCAAGCTTTATTTTCAAGATGCAAAGACATTAAACGTAGCATCCTAAACAATTATTACATCCTAACTATAGAGTACAATTTAATCTTTGTGTTTACATATGAAATATCTAACTGAATCAGTCAGGAACAGGTAAAGAATTTCTGATATAGGAACTTACATATGCGACACCAAAATAGTATTGTCTTAATATGCTTAAAAACCTATTAAAATCCATAGGTGTTTGGCGTGTTGATTTGTCACTACCCCCGCCCCCCTCACCCACTCTATTTGGTATATGCTTTTAAACAATTTCCTTCATCCCCCCCCCCAAAAAAAAATTGATATATAAATATTTAGTACTAAATATATATGCATACTTTTTTTATTAAAAGCATATACCAAATATTAAAACATGCTACAAATAAAAAATACTGCAGTTTACATACTTTTGAGAGGCAGGAGGGTTGTAGAGGGGTGAGGGGGTGGGGGGGGCCCGGGGGTTGTGACCAAGCAACGCGCCAAACACCTATGTTAAAAACCACCTTTGAATGAAAAGTAAGTTGAAAAGGGCATAACTCCAAATAATAAATTTCAGAGTTATGCCCCTTTTCTAACAATAGAACCTTGTCATGATAAATAAGCTTTCCAGGTTTCATATTGATACCTTAAACTTTGAAAATGTTGGGTAATGGACTAAATTAAAGTTTTGATTGACAAAAATGATGGCGATTAAAAGTACTCTGCTTTTTTCTGTCAACAGTCGAGCTAAAATTGTGCAAAGCATATACACTGTGTTGTTTCATTTTTACATTATTTACTATTGGACAAAAAAAGCAAATAGAGGTACATGTACAAATGACTTACTTGGTTTGTAGAAAAGCTAGGTCACAGTTTGAGTAGTGCATGTACATGATATCTTTTAAATGCACTGAAACCAAGAAAAACATGTTCACTGTAAATAAAGTTTTAATTGCTGTACTCAATTTTATAAGTTACTGTACTGTTTTACAGTGTGTGTATAGTGCACTAGTATGGAACGCCGTAGCTGCCTTATATAAACACTTCTAAAGTGGTCATGTCCTTTTGACAGATAGTGCTGTGGTTCTGATAAATGGTTATGTGGTTTTAATAAATGGTGATGTCGTTGTGATAGATGGTCCTGTAGTTTAAATAAATGGTCCTGTGGTTTTTAAAAATGGTTATGTCGTTTTGAAAGATGGTGCTGTAGTTTAAATAAATGGTGATGTGGATTTAATAAATGGTGATGTGGATTTAATAAATGGTGCTGTGGTTTTGATAAATGGTTATGTCGTTTTGACAGATGGTGCTGTGGATTTAATAAATGGTGCAGTGGTTTTGATAAATGGTTATGTCGTTTTGAAAGATGGTGCTGTAGTTAAAATAAATGGTGCTGTGGATTTAATCAATGGTGCTGTGGTTTTGATAAATGGTTATGTCGTTTTGACAGATGGTGCAGTGGATTTGATAAATGGTGTTGTGGTTTTGATAAATGGTTATGTCGTTTTGAAAGATGGTGCTGTAGTTAAAATAAATGGTGCTGTGGATTTAATAAGTGGTGCTGTGGTTTTTATAAATGGTTATGTCGTTTTGACAGATGGTGCTGTAGTTTGAATAATAGTGGAATATATAGATTCTACATGTCGGACTGTTTGGGCGAGAGGATTTTCGCTAAAATATTTACTTCAATTTTAAACAACAGGTTTACCCTGAACAAAATACCTCGAAATTAATAAGGATTACAAACCCGAAATGCAAAGGAAGTTCTAAATTTAGAAACACTTGATATTATTCAGACTTTCTGTGTATAACTTCTCCGTGGTACAGTGGTAACGCGCTCGCTTAGTGAGTGAGAGGTCTCGAGTTCGAATCCCAGTCGAGGAAACTTTTTTTGTTGTTAAATTCTTTTTTAAGTGTTTTTGTTAAGGAAGTAGCCATGATATGCAAGGATAAAGTGTGACTGTCGTAAAAAAATGAACATAAAATGATTTTTTGATGCAACTCTAGTTATGCAGAATTCCGTATGTATCAAACTCTGGTGCCTTGCAAAATGAATTATAATGCATAAAAATAAACCTATACAGGAAAATGCATACAGATATACAGTACGATTTAGATTGCAAAGATCAGAAAATACCACAGAACTTGCAGCCCTTTGATTCTTTATAAATATTTATAAATGCTTATAGTAAGCTCCAGGATTATTTACATCTGTGTTAAACAACAGTTAAAGTCGTTACAAGCCCTAATTTAGAATAATATGGTTTTCTTCAGCCCGTTCACATATAAATTCACCGTGGCTGAAGGGTTTTCGGGCTCGCTTAGGAAGCGAGAGGTCTGGAGTTCAAATCCCAGTAAAGGTAACTCATTTTTTTTCATATTGTTAAAGTCAAATAAACATTGGATTGAATATCAGTGTTGCAATTAGTCTTATAGCCAATTTACTACAATTAAAACGCTGGGAAGCATTTATGGAACGCCATAGCTGCCTTATATAAACACTTCTAAAGTGGTCATGTCCTTTTGACAGATAGTGCCGTGGTTCTGATAAATGGTTATGTGGTTTTAATAAAGGGTGATGTAGTTGTGATAGATAGTCCTGTTGTTTAAGTAAATGGTGCTGTGGTTTTGATAAATGGTGATGTCGTTTTGACAGATGGTGTTGTAGTTTAAATAAATGGTGCTGTGGATTTAATAAATGGTGCTGTGGTTTTGATAAATGGTGATGTCGTTTTGACAGATGGTGCTGTAGTTTGGGTAAATGGTGCTGTGGTTTTGATAAATGGTGATGTTGTTTTGACAGATGGTGCTGTAGTTTAAATAAATGGTGCTGTGGATTTAATAAATGGTGCTGTGGATTTGATAAATGGTGATGTCGTTTTGACAGATGGTGCTGTAGTTTAAGTAAATGGTGCTGTGGTTTTGATGAATGGTGATGTCGTTTTGACAGCTGGTGCTGTAGTTTACATAAATGGTGCTGTGGATTTAATAATTGGTGCTGTGGTTTTGATAAATGGTGATGTCGTTTTGACAGATGGTGCTGTAGTTTAAGTAAATAGTGCTGTGGTTTTGATAAATGGTGATGTCGTTTTGACAGATGGTGCTGTAGTTTAAATAAATGGTGCTGTGGATTTTATAAATGTTGCTGTGGTTTTGATAAATGGTGATGTCGTTTTGACAGATGCTGCTGTAGTTTAAGTAAATGGTGCTGTGGTTTTGATAAATGGTGATGTCGTTTTGACAGGTGGTGCTGTAGTTTCAATAAATGGTGTTGTGGTTTTTGATAAATGGTGCTGTAGTTTAAGTAAATGGTGCTGTGGTTTCAATAAATGGTGCTGTCGTTTTGACAGATGGTGCTGTAGTTTAAGTAAATGGTGCTGTGGTTTTGATAAATGGTGCTGTGGTTTTGATAAATGGTGCTGTAGTTTAAGTAAATGGTGCTGTAGTTTCAATAAATGGTGCTGTCGTTTTGACAGATGGTGCTGTAGTTTAAGTAAATGGTGCTGTGGTTTTGATAAATGGTGATGTCGTTTTGATAAATGGTGATGTCGTTTTGACAGATGGTGCTGTAGTTTAAGTAAAATGGTGCTGTGGTTTTGATAAATGGTGCTGTGGATTTTATAAATGGTGCTGTGGTTTTGATAAATGGTGATGTCGTTTTGACAGATGGTGCTGTAGTTTAAGTAAAAGGTGCTGTGGTTTTGATAAATGGTGATGTCGTTTTGACAGGTGGTGCTGTAGTTTCAATAAATGGTGCTGTTGTTTTGATAAATGGTGCTGTAGTTTAAGTAAATGGTGCTGTGGTTTCAATAAATGGTGCTGTCGTTTTGACAGATGGTGCTGTAGTTTAAGTAAATGGTGCTGTGGTTTTAATAAATGGTGCTGTGGTTTTGATAAATGGTGCTGTAGTTTAAGTAAATGGTGCTGTAGTTTCAATAAATGGTGCTGTCGTTTTGACAGATGGTGCTGTAGTTTAATTAAATGGTGCTGTGGTTTTGATAAATGGTGATGTCGTTTTGACAGGTGGTGCTGTAGTTTCAATAAATGGTGCTGTGGTTTTGATAAATGGTGATGTCGTTTTGACAGATGGTGCTGTGGTTTTGTTAGCTGGTTTTGTCATTTTGATTATGGTTATGTAATTATATATATGGTGCTGTTGTTTTGATACATGGTGATGCAGTAATGATAAATGGTGAGCTCGTTTTGATATATGGTGGTGTCACTTTGGTACCTGGTGTTGTCATTTTATATATGGTGCTGTTGTTTTTATAAATGGTGCTGTAATTTTGCTATATGGTGATGTTTGTTTTTATCAATGGTTATGTTGTTTTTTATAAATAGTGCTGTAATTTTGCTGTATGGTGATGGTGTTTTTATAAATGGTTATACTATTTTGATGTATGGTGATGTTGTTTTTTATAAATGGTTATACTATTTTGCTGTATGGTGATGTTGTTTTTATAAATGGTTATACTTTTTTTGATGTATGGTGATGTTGTTTTAATAAATGGTTATACTATTTTGATATATGGTGATGTTCTTTTTATAAATGGTTATACTATTTTGATGTATGGTGATGTTTGTTTTTATAAATGGTTATACTATTTGCTACATGATGATGTTCTTTTATAAATGGTTATACTATTTTGCTATGTGGTGATGTTCTGTTTATACATGGTGATACTATTTTGATGTATGGTTCTGTGATTTTTTATTACGATGATGATGAACTATTTATAGATGACCTGTTTGTTTATCGGAACATTGTGATTGGTTATTTTAAAAAATGGAGACGTTTTTGCGCCAAATTCTATACACTCTTATCTGAGCTTTATCACATCTTGACTGTTATTTATCCCCAAATATTTCATTTCCTGCATAGATAATTTGCAGACAAAATCAGGCGTGATCCTTTCATTTTCAAACATTGTCCACAAGTTACCCATTCCAAGGTTTTTCAAAATTGCTTCCCTTGTTTTCCACCACTTAAACATTTCAACTTTAATTTTAATTTATTAATCTCAGAGAAAAACATTTAACCCTTTCCTTGATGAGCAAATTGTCAAAAATGGCCGTTTTCATTGGAAAACCTCCTGTTAAAAGTTCAAATTGCTATGGAACTATGAAAAATGCTTCGATACTGATGAAAATTAGCACAAATGTTGACTGGACAATAGCCTCTGTACATGTAACAGCATGCTCAATCTTAAATTTCCTGTAAAATTGGCAAAGGGGGAACGTCTCAAAATTGCCAAAAATCACTATTTTGCATTGTTTTTTTTTTCATCAAAAACTAACTTCAAAGTGCTGCAACTCTCATGGATTGAGATAGAGCAAATAGGCTTTTATTTATCAGCGTGGTTATGTGTTATCCTTTTTTAGCGATTCGAACATAGAGCCATTTTAGTCACTAGTCACAACTGTCAAAATTTCTTTGATAGATGAGGGGGACACATCCCCTCTTCTAGAGAACTATCCACCTTTGATGACTCAAATTTGATGAGTAGGCGATAGGCGCCAAAAAATAAGTAGGTCACACTTTAACACACCATTTCTCATAACAGTCAAACCTTCTAAAGAGTACCGTGATGTGGTGACAAGGAGAGTTATATTGAGTATATGCAACTTTTATATCCGTACACTGCCTATAGTGAGGCACCAATCACAAAATGAAGAGGGGGGGGAGGTCGAAAAGCCGTCAAATTATCGTCTATAAGGGGTAAAGTTTATTGAAACGACAAAATTACAGCACCATCTAACAAAACGACATAACCATTTATCAAAATTACAGCACCATCTATAAATAGCACCATCTAAACAAAACGACATCACCATTTATCAAAATTACAGCACCATCTATACATATCACAGCACCATCTAACAAAATGACATAACCATTTATCAAATCGACAGCACCATCTAACAAAATGACATAACCATTTATCAAAATAACAGCACCATCTATAAAAATCACAGCACCATCTAACAAAACGACATAACAACTTATCAAAATAACAGCACCATCTATAAAAAACCACATCACCATCTAACAAAACGACATAACCATTTATCAAAATTACAGCACCATCTATAACAACCACAGCCCCATCTTACAAAGCGAGATAACCATTTATCAAATCGACAGCACCATCTTACAAAACGAGTTAACCATTTATCCAATTCACAGCACCGTCTATTGAAACGACATCACCAGGTATCAAAATTACAAGCAACATCATTAAAACTCACAACACCGTTTAACAAAACTACAGCATCATCTATCAATTCGACTTCGCCATTTATCAAAACGACATCACCATATGTAAAAACGACATCACCATCGATCAGTGCTACAGCACAATATTTCAATATAGACTTAACCAAGTATTGAAATCACAGCACCATTTATTAAAATGACATCACTATATATCAAAATCACTGCACCGTTTATAACATGACTGCACCATATATGTAGATTACATGATCATCTATCTGAACGACATCACCATATATGAAAATAACATCACCATTTATCAAAACCATAGCACCATCTATAAAACGACATCACCATTTATCCAAAGGACATCACGACTTGATAAGAGTGAATATAAGGCAGCTATGGCGTTCCATAAGCATTGGTGGCACTATACATATAATCTCACAACCTGCACCTTTCTTACATTCTGAGACCCAAACAAATTCAGCGCCTTCTGTGCTTTGATTTTTATAAATGGTGATGTAATTTTGCTATATGGTGATGTTGTTTTTATAAATGGTTATACTATTTTGATATATGGTGATGTTCTATTTATAAATGACGATACTATTTTAATGTATGGTGATGTTCTTTTTATAAATGGTCATACTATTCTGATGTACGATGATGTTCTTTTTATAAATGGTTATACTATTTTGCTATGTGGTAATGTTCTTTTTATACATGGTGATACTATTTTGATGTATGGTTCTGTTATTTTTTATTACGATGATGATGATCTATTTATAGATGACCTGTTTGTTTACTGGAACATTTTGATCGGTTATTTTAAGTTATGGAGACCTTTGTTTTTCGCCAACTTTTATACACTCTAATCTGAGTTTCATCATATCTTGACTGTTATTTATTCTAAAGTATTTCATTTCCTGTATAGATAACTTGCAGACAAAATCAGGCATGATCTTTTCATATTCAAAAAATGTCCACAAGTAAAAGGTTTTTTCAAAACTGCTTCCATTGTTTTTCATCAGTTAAACATTTCAATTTTTATTTTAATTTATCAATCTCAGAGAAAAACATTTAACTCTGTCCTTCATGAGCATATTGTGAAAAATGGCCGTTTTCATTGAAAAGCCTCCTGTTACAAGTTCAACTGCTATGGAACTATGAAAAATGCTTTGATACTGATGAAAATTGGCACAAGTGTTGACTGGACAATAGCCTGTGTCTTAAATTTCCTGTAACATTGGCAACAGGGGACGTCTCAAAAATTGCCAAAAAATCACTTTTTTGCATTGTTTTTCTTTCCATCAAAACAAACTAAGTTCAAAGTGCTGCAACTTCTCAATGGAATGAGATGGAGCTAAAGGCTTTTCAGCGTTGGTTACACGTTACCTTACGATCGACCTGAGGCTATTTTAGCCTGTCACATGTCCAAAATTTTCTTGGCGATGAGGGCGACTGTTGCCTACTTCAACCCCCCCCCCCCCCAAAAAAAAAACAAAACAGAAGAGGGCACATCCCCTTGATGTACCATTTTGATGGGGGCGGCGCCGAAAAAATGGTCACTTTTTTAACAACATTTCTCAAACGAAAAACAGTGTCTAGGGCCTAAATAGGACATTTTTTCACTGTTTAATGCCTCAAAAAGGGGAGGGGGTCTACAAGCCGTCATTTGCAAAACACGTCTATAATTATGAGGTAAAGGGTTAAAGGAGGTTTCGCCATATTTTTCTCAGAAATAAGTAAATGACCATCTCCACAGTTCAGAAAGACATCACCATGTACAAAAATCACAGCACCATGTATAAAATGACAACACCATATACCAAAACAGTATAACCATATACCAAACGGCATAACAGCATTTCAAAACGACATTACCATTTATCAAAAACACAGAACTATTGATTAAAACCACCTCACCATTTATCAAATCCATAGCACGGTCTATTGAAACGAGATAACCATTTATCAAAATTACAGCACCATCTAACAAATCGACATAACCATTTATCAAAATTACAGTACCATATATAAATACCACAGGGCCATCTTACAAAACAACATAACCATTTATCAAAATTACTGCACCATCTATAACAACCATTACATCAACTAAAAGGACGACCTAACCATTTATCAAATCCACAGCACCATCTTACAAAACGACATAACCATTTATCAAAATTAGGGCACCATCTTTAACAACCATAGCATCAACTAAAAGAACGACCTTACCATTTATCAAATCGACAGCACCATCTAACAAATCCACATAACCATTTATCAAAATTACAGCACCATTTATAACAACCACAGCACCATCTTACAAAACGACATAACCATTTATCAAAATTACAGCCCTATCTATAACAACCACAGCACCATCTAACAAAACGAGATAACCATTTATCAAAATAACAGCACCATCTATAACAACCACAGCACCATCTAACAAAACGACATAACCATTTATCAAAATTACAGTACCATATATAAATACCACAGGACCATCTTACAAAACGACATAACCATTTATCAAAATTACTGCACCATCTATAACAACCATTGCATCAACTAAAAGGACGACCTAACCATTTATCAAATCCACAGCACCATCTTACAAAACGACATAACCATTTATCAAAATTATAGCACCATCTGTAACAACCACAGCACCATCTAACAAAACGACATAACCATTTATCAAAATTACAGCACAATCTAACAAATCGACATAACCATTTATCAAAATTACAGCACTATCTATAACAACCACAGCACCATCTAACAAAACGAGATAACCATTTATCAAATTCACAGCACCGTCTTTTAACATGACTGCACCATATATCTAAATTACATCACCATCTATCTGAACGACATCACCATATATGAAAATAACATCACCATCTATAACAACCACAGCACCATCTAACAAAACGACATAACCATTTATCAAAATTACAGCACCATCTATAACAACCATAGCATCAACTAAAAGAACGACCTAACCATTTATCAAATCGACAGCACCATCTAACGAAACGACATAACCATTTATCAAAATAACAGCACCTTCTATAAAAACCACAGCACCATCTTACAAAACGAGATCACCATTTATCAAATTTACAGCACCGTCTTTTAACATGACTGCACCATAAATCTAAATTACATCACCATCTATCTGAACGACATCACCATATATGAAAATAACATCACCATCTATCAAAACCATAGCACCATATTCTATAGAAACGACATCATCATTTATCCAAAGGACATCACGACTTGATAAGAGTAAATATAAGGCAGCTATGGCGTTCCATACACTAGCTTAAGGTCTTTAACATATACTGTTATGAATGCACAAATTTGATACTAATTGATACACATAGTCTCTTAATAAATATAAAATAAAGATGCTTTGGCTTTACACAAAGTCTTTGAGATATGTGATGCTTTAAATTCTACACACTTTAAGTAAACACACTATGAATATAAAGTGTCATTAAAAAACTGGTTTATATGTTCTTTTATTATTGAAGAAGACATGTTCAGTAAGAATTCTACAGATTTCAATATTTTTTTTGCAAAAAAATATTTTACTCAAGGATGAGCATGGACTGTATCTTTAAGCTAGATTCATGCCATTTTTAAAATTCTTACATAAATACTTGATTTCTAAATTTTAAAAGAATGATATCCAAATAAATAAATACTTTACAAATCTTAGCTAAAATACAGTAAAAATATATGAGTAAAAACTACTGACCTGTAACCTTTCCACATATAAGATCAATCATCATTTGAAATTAGGATACTTCCATTGTGTGTTCATCATTTAAAGAATAATTCCTTTGTTTTAATAATGCCACTTTAGTGTTATAGTTTTCTATCTAACTAAAATATGTATGAAGTTTAAAACGTAAATGTTTTTTTCATTCCATTCATATCCTTACTATAAAACATTCACCTGAGAATATTGATTAAATAAAATGATGTCTATTTCACCTGTCATTAGTCTCATAATCTATTTATAAATTGTTTCTCCAAGTTCATTTAAGGTTACTCAGTACTTGCTGTTGATGTTTTAAACTCAAACAGGTACACTCCAGACTTCAAGGTGCCATCATATGTGACCACAAAATTGTCTGATTGTTTTATAAATGTTTTAAAGTTTTCAAATTCTGTTTCTGGTTTTATATCACAACCTTCCATACCTACTGTCACTGTATGTGGTAGTTTGTTTATAACAGTAATGAGATCATGTAACACTGAACAAGACATTGTTATAATATAAAACAAGTTAACACGTTCAATATTGATCATTTGAGGTGACAGTGTTAATGATCTTTCACCTAGATTCATTCTCACCAAACTAACATATTTCACATGATATAACAATGGAACTGTTTGTAACATTGTTTCTATGTCACTGGAAGATCTTAGATCAACACATCTAAATGTTTGTAGTTTATTGGCTGCTGGTAGTTGACTGAGATAAGATGACACAACACCAGGTTTATATAATTCACCTACAATACATTCCTCTAACAATGATACATCCATGTTTAATTGTGACACAGGTATATAGCTCAATCCTAAATTTCTTAGTTGTGAATGTTGAGACAGGTCAAGGTTGAATCCCCTACATGAAGTATCATGATCACTACAGTTTAAACTGTACAATATTATTTCTTTCATTGATTTTTTACTAGTGAGGAAATTTAACAATGTCTCCATTACCTCGTGGGTCATAGTGAAACAGTCTATATATAAACACTCCAGGTGTTGTAATTTTACCAGTCCTCCATTTATCTCTGCAGACAGCCGGCAACGTTTTCCTACAAATTGATGATTTTCCCATTTACATGAACTCACAGTTAAACATTTTAAAGGCTTCAATAACAAGCTCATTATTTCCTCTTCTACAATGTCACTTTGATAGTATAATTTCTCTATATGTGGAAGGTGAGAGAGTGTAAACAAACTGATAATTTCTTGTAGATTACAAATACCTTTATTTTGTATCATTATTGATTTTATGTTGTTCTTTATTTTGTTGACACAGATTTTGTAATTGACTGAAGTAGTTTTGTTGTTGACAATTTTCATTAATGATGAAATCTTG